TAGCGTAGGACAAGGACAGACATATATGTGCGGTAGACAAGGAAGGTGATAGCGTGGGACAAGGACAGACATATAAGCGCGATAGACAAGGAGGACGATAGTGTGTGACAAGGACAGACGTATTTGCGCGGTAGACAAGGAGGGTGATAGCGTGGGACAAAGACAGACTTATTCACGCGGTAGACAAAGAGGGTAACAGACTACGATAAGGACAGCAATATAAATTTGTTCCGGGATGATCCACTTATCTAGGGGTGATCCACACGGTGCATGCTTAAAGAGCATGCTATTTGATTGCTCATTAGGCTCATTCCGATCTTACCTTTCTTCTAATTTTTTTTTGTTTGTTTCTTTTGCAAGCAGAATTTTTACAGTAGCTTCTCTGCTATGTATATAAAACAGTGTAATCAATTTAAACATCACTGTTCTGGTATCAATTCTGAACTCAAATCTAAACCAAAATTTGGCTCAAACGTAATTTGAATCCATTACGAATTTTAGGTATGCAACAATTAATATCTCAAGGTTATTGAAATCGATATAAGTAACCATTTTATAAGTAACTATTAAGTAGGCATTCAATGGTATAATTTTATAAAAGAAGTATCGTACGTTAATATAAGATTTCAATATTTTTCGCTCATTTAATTAAAACATTATAGACATATATTATAAGATTAAACATACGATATTGGCAAAATGAATTTGGTCTTCACCAAATTATGTGCAAGTCAACATGTTAAATAAGCATTCGGTTTTAGTCATCATTTAGTCACGAATTATACAATTGAATTAAATAGCTCATCTTTGATAGTTAGTGAGCTTTTCTTTTTATTAACGCGAGGTTTCTAAGGAAATTGAGACAGGTGCTTTACTATGTTTTTGATCGCGGAGGGTTTCACGACATTCTCCATATTCCCTTGTATCATAAGACGTTTACGGTCTTCATTTTTCTTTGCGAGTCGTTTGTTTCTTCTGCCCTCATAAATGGGATGAATTGTCGCCTTACGTTCGTTTGTCTGCAATTTTCATTATCTCATGAATTAATTCATTTTACATTTATTATGTTATTAGGTTTTTTCTTACACAACATTAAGACAAAGCATTACACAATTTTGCTCAATAAATATCAAATCTTAACAAATAAATAAATAATCTAAATATGCATGTATGTAAATATTTACATACTATATATTTACTATATGTTACATGGCGGTATATTTTTACCGTTTTTTAAATATATACCAAATATAGTAATACATAGTAAATATGTACGCGAGTAAATTAAAAATATATATGTACATATAAATACATACATATACATTTATCTATTTATTTTTTATATAAATATATATTTTTTACATTTGTAATATATATTTATATAATATTTCATGTAATTTATATTATTTCACCTGTTCAAGGTTTTCTTGAAACACGATCGTTTCGTACGGAGAGCTCTTCGATATTTTATTACTTTTAGGACGGGCCCTGTTCGTCCCTTCAAACGAATCATCGTGAAACATAAAACGTTGAGATCTGTCCTTAGCTTCTGACTTCCTCCACTTTATCACGGACCTGAAGCACTTAAAGAATTTATTTCTACCCTTGAACCCTTTCTTGGTAGTATTCCTTTTCGAATCTCTCTCCATCTTCAAATTCGTAAATTCAAATTTACAAATTCTCTCCAACGTATTCCCCTTGCGATTGTTCGGACTGCTTTCCAAAATAACACCTGTCCGATTTTGCAGTTCGACTCGATCTCGTCTAGGATCGAACGTAGAGGGATCGTAATACGCTCTCCCTTCGTAGCTACAGACTTCGATGTCATTTATCGAATCGCACTGTACATAATCCTCCTTGCAATGTTTCCTATCTTTCTCATTTATTTTAAAATTATTTTCTTGATCGTCGAAAGTTCCAGCTGTTGACTCTAGAGAGTTGTTACTTTCAGTACAATTTCTTGTTTCAGCGTTTGAGCATGCAAGTTCTTCCGGATATATTTTACTTGCTTCGACACTCGAAACAGGAGGAACTTCTGCTTCATTGTTTTTCACTTTGACAGAGGTATCGTGCTTTCTGTTGTCCCTTCCGTAATACCTCGTGAAAAATTCGTCATTCGCTCTGCAAACTTCGTTTTTGTTCTCAAAAGAAGCAATTATTTTCTTCACAAAATTCTGAGACCTATTGACGGATTGTATCTTCTTCGTTTCGTCATTGACATTCCCTGAGAAACGTTTCCTTCTTTCTATAAAATCCTCCACAGTGTAGGTTCTGTATTTGTCTTCAGTCGAAGTAGAATTATCTTCTAATTCTCTCTTGTTGTGCGCCGTTTGAATTTCCAAAATGTGCGACGTGGATTTTGAACGTAGCGTCATCTTCTCTTTATCAGCTCTCTCTCTTTTTTTTTTTTATTTCAAATGTCGACGCGTTTAATTTAGCAAACCTTTCTGCTCTACTTTTTCACTTTCTATACTTATGTTTACTTGGTCTGTACTTATGTTTACGTCACGACATGTAACATCGTAATGACAACGTCTGTAATTAAATTTGCTATTCGTTACTCCGGCAGATAGTAAATATAGTTAAAGGTCGTTCGAAATTATACATTAACATTTAAGATATGGATTGGTCTCTTCATCGAAAGATGGCGATACATTTGATATTACAAATTTGTTAATTATCATTCAGTATGAAATAATTAATTTAGTTGTTTGATCGTAATAGAAAGATTGTGATGACTTGTGCTGCCGATACAAAATTAAAATTTGCCGCGAAAAACAGATTCTGAATCCTTTTAAAATTTAATCGAAAAGCCTCTATCAGAAGCGCCACCAAAATTCAAATTTTCAGCCAGAAATATCTTGTTTACCGTGTGGAAAATTTCATTGTACTGGAAACTTTAGCTGGATCAACGGTGATGAATTACTTTAAGTAGTGACTGAAAATTGAAAATCCTCAATTTTGGGGGAATCGACATTTGAAGTGTCTTAAATCACTGCGCATTATTGATCTTAACAATTGAGGGGAAAAATATACAATTTTATTTGGATTCACATCCTTTATTCTTTCTTAACCATGCTATTACATTATATCCTTATTACAATATCATTTCATTTCATCTTTTTTTTCTAAAATTATAACAAGTACTGCGAACCCCGTTTCAAAAATATTGTTTCGTATCGCGAGAAATGTAAAATATCTAATTAATTTTAGTATCGTTGAAATTTTGAAACATTAAACTCTCGCAAGAAATTCTCTTTTACAATTTTTCCTTAAATAGATTTAACATTATTTATTAATTTCATAGTAATGCTATCTATTTAAGGAAATAGATAAATCTACTAAAATTAAGATAATACTATAATTTATAAAATTAAGATATTAAAGATAATAGAAAAGATAATAAAAGATAATAAAAGATATTAAATCTACTAAAATTAAGATACTAAAATTAAGATATTTCGATATTTTTAAGATCTTTTACATTTCTCGTGATATCACTTACACAGTCATTATATTTATCTATTACTATGGCAAGTGAGTTTACGTTAAAATTAATCTTACATTTGTGCATTTTATTCCATTTCAATTTCGACAGTCCATCGGTTTTGAGGTCTTAATAATAATTGCGTTGATTCTGAAATATATTGTCGGACAATTGTTTTGTAATGTTACAAAAAAAAAAAAAAAAAAAGAAAAAACGATTAGATCAAACGTTTTTAATTCAGTGGAGTTACAGAATTATCAACTCCCTATACTTGTAAAACTACTCACTCTATAATTATAAGACTATTTACTTTTAAATAGTATAGAGTGACTACCGATGAGTATGCTGGCGTTTGTTCAAATCGCTAGGCACGATTGGAAAAATCTTTTCAAAGGCACAAATTCCAGAGAAATCATATTTTATCGAACATTCTCGTATATCGCTTCGTGCAAATCATTTTCACGTGTATCCCTTATCTAGTCAAATGGAAAATTAGTCTCGAATATAAAATAAAATAGAACGAAAACGAATAGAATGAAAACGAATAAAATGAAAACAAATAAAATCACGAATTTATGTCCAATCGCAATGCTAAAAATTTACTTTTACGGAACGCCATAAATACGTCCGGCAATCGATAGCGGTTTCGGCGACCATTTTCGTCTGTTGGTAGACTTACGTTCAAATTCGATATCGTTGTAGCAGATATTATCCGCAGTCGATGACACGGAATTTAGTACAGATTTATCAGAATAGCCCGAATCTATCACCACGGTCTCGTCGATTTTGAACAGCTTCTTACCGATGTTGCTCTTGCCAGAGGTTTCGCACCTTGTCCATTGCGAATGTTCGTCCTCGCTTTTGATCGGACTGATCAACGGGGAACAACAATTGCTCGATAATTTGGAGATGATACTCAACAGGGAGCTGCTTCTCGGTAGCTTACGCTTGTATATCGGTATCCAGTAAACGAAATCGTCTCCCTCCTGTTTAGTTTTTTTTTCCACCGTCAGGTTTCCCATGGTTACGCTCCCACTGTCGTATCTTTGCATTCCCTCGTCGCATTTCGAAGTGGATGGTCGTTGATCGTAACTATCGAGAGAAGTATCCGTGTCCTGGAAAGTCGACGTGACGTAAGATGTTGTCCCTGACTCGGTGCAGTCGTCTTCCTCGTTTTGATGCATCATTTTCTTGATCGCAGAGATATCCTCTTTCTCCAGGGCGTTCGCTACCTGCTTCACGAAACTATCAGAGCTCCTATCGCGTCGCGACTTTGATAACCTCATTTTCTCGAAGTTTCGAATAATTTCCTGTATCGTGTTCCCCTCGTGAATCCATTGTTTGTTCCTCGCCAGATTCTTCTCCAAACCTAGGAACTTGGTGTACGACCATTTTTCGTCGACTTTCCTTCTCTTCTCTCGAGAACGGATGTCTACCAGTTTCTTGTCAAACACTTTCTCTTCGATGTTAATCGAACTCCTAACGGCGTCGGGGTTCCTCTTCTTCACCTTGTTTCTTGGCGGACGAGGAACCTCCAGCTGCCTCACTACCTCGCAAACCGGGATCGGGGGATATTCGTCGTTTGATTGAAAGTTCAGACTTTCGGACGAAGTACCGGCGTAACTTCGATCGAAATTGTTCATGCTCGAGTCGGTCGATCGATTATTTTTCGCTGACAACGGTTTCACCTTGTTGATTGAAGATTTTATGTAATTCTGATCAGCACTATCCACGCTACTCTCGAAGACGGCCATCTTCGCTCGAATTGACTTGGTCGATCGATTGTTCCTCCGTAATGACGATGTCCCCATGCTGTTAATACTTGAGTTACTTTCGTAGATGAACGTCTTTTCGCGAACCGATTTCATTGCTCGAATATCAGCCGGTAGTAACAATTTCTCCTTGTTGGATGAAGGTTTCGTGTAACTTCGATTCAAGTTATCGATGCTTGAATTACTTTCGAAAATAGACGCCTTCGTGCGGACCGAGTCGTTCGATCGAATGTTCTTTTTCGACAGCAACTTGTCGGATGAAGCTCTCGCGTAACTTCGATCGAGACTGTTCAATTTCGAATTACTCTCGAAGATGGACGCCTTTTCTAAAATATTCGGGGACAATTTTCTAGACTTTGGAATACTCTTATATATGTTCAACAGATTCATCGCTCTGTTTATAGAGTCTTGTTGAAGCGTAGAGAAATCCTCGGTAGTACTATCGCAACCAACTTTTAGTTCAACTTTAGGTCCTGGTATCACGAAAGAGGAGTTTGGCGTAGAAGTGGCGCGAACGTTAAACTCCGTATCCGCCGGTTCTATCGGAGCTGTTGGAACTCGAAACATATCGTTCTCTTCTTGTCCGTCTTCCTCAGTCGCGTCATTTTGCTTCCAGCTCTTTTCCTGTTCCTTCCAGGTCTTTAACTTCTTCGCGTAGAGGTTGTCGCCGTCGTCCAAATACGTACTTTCGAACTCCTTGGAAAAGTCGATCTTCGGCCCGGGCGGTAAAACGAGATTTAGATTCCAGAATTTTCTAGAGGGCGACCTTTTGGGGAACGTTTTGCTAGTTTGTTTAAGATACTTCGCCACTGGGATGTCTATGTCGAAAATGTCTTCTGTGCGCTGCTTAAAGCTAATTGACGGCAATTCCTCCTGATGACACGTGGTTATCTTGATAGGCATTTTTGTTGCCTTTTGAGTTTCCTCGTTCAGATTTTTTTCAACATCTGAAATTAAAAATCATAGGTGTTAGTGAATATTTGAACGGTGTAGAATGATTGAAATACATATCCAAAACTCTTGTTACAATAGAGTTTCTTATAGTCGAACCCTCGTTATCCAAATAATCTGTTCGACTAATATCCTATTATTAAACAAGCAACAGATACTTGTACCAAACTGTTCTATCATTATATGTTTGCCATGGTTTTCATAATTTCAAAAAAACTAAAATACGAGATACAAGATTTTGCTGAAAAAAATATTGATGAAATATCTTATAAGAAACTCTCTTTAAATTCGTGATAAATAAATCAACGCTCATGTGTCTTAAATATGTTTTCGCACACTGAAAGAGTGAATGAAGAACAAGTATTTGATAATTAGCACAAAACTTTGAAAAAAAATGCAACTCTACAGAAGTATATGTACGCTAAAGAAAGTCAGACAGTTTAACGGCTAAAAAAAAAAGAAATAAATATTGAAAATGAGATATTGAATATGAAATAAATATCGAAATAAACTTCCCGATAATTTTCTTAATCTCCACTTGAGTTTGACATTACATTTAACATCAAAAACGTGATTGTTCTATTATCCCTAAAATTCCCTTAACCGAACACTTTTGTTTCCCTAATTAATTCCGATGATGATTATATATATTAGAATTGCGATAAATGATGAGAGTGTAAATATATTTATGCGTAAATTATTTATATATATCGAACGTATTAATAAATAAATATTAATAAATACATACATATATATATATATTAATAAATACCTGATGAACTAGAAGTCGATGAATTTATTGTAAGTTTTTTTTGAGGCGAAAAATTTTTCCAGGGTGATGGACGAAGTTCAAACGGCTTAGTTTTTAATAGTTTCGGCGGACTCGTGTATTTGTTTAAGTACCAATCCGGAATTGATAGCTTTTGGAGAGACTGTTGGACCTTCAATTCCGGTTCTGTTAATTTTCTGTCCTATTGAACAAGAATAAAAAACTAATTAATAAAATATTCAGATTTATTAATATCTACTAATAAAAATCACATAAAAGTAATTTTCCCTTGATGGATTCTTCAATTTTATGGTTGAGACAGATTATAAATTAATTACTATCGCTGGTTCTTTTGTAATAATCAGTACAATAATGTATAAATAATATATAGAAGAAAATTGAAAGAAATTAAAGTTGAATTAAGCTGGATTAAAAATGAATCAATAATACAAATTACATAAATCAGAGAAGGAATTATACAAATTGCAATTGAATTAAAAATTGTGTAAATTAAAAGTGAGACAAATAGATTTTGGAAAATTTTATCAACATTATATATTAGCTCCTTTAACTTCTTTAGTTATGTTTAAAATATTTAGATTTTCCAAAATCTAAAAATCGTGCACAAACTACGCGATTGAAGTAATTCATCAACTGTATCATCCATTTAAGTATCCCCTAAACATCTTAGAAAATATTTTCTTTTTTTCAAAATTTCTTTAAAATTTCCAAATAAATTTTCCTTTTATACATATATACATACGTATATATATAATTATATATTTCTTTCAAATTATTATAACTGTACAACAACTTGACCTTGAAATAATTTCGAACGCCGAAAATTAAAGTTGAACTAAGCTTGAAATTCATACTTGGAGAAAACGTTGGTTTTGACAGAAAAGGAGAACGCTTCGAATATTTATAACATGTTAAGTTAAATAAAAGGAATGATAAAATGCTGGCAAATTTCTTGATCAAGTCGTTTGGATATTCTTCGTGCCATGAGAAACATTTTCACTATATTCATATGTTTTCACGTCTCTGAGGCGTTCTTCATTATGAATTTCAAATTAAACTCTACAGCTACTTTTATATATCTAAACATATTTTCTCATCAGTTACACGATGCAACAAATGAAAATATATAATTAAGCGGAAAGGAACATCGATAACTTTCAAAACTTTTCTTGCAGAATACTCTGGATACCATCCAAATTACGTGGAAAATATTTTCTTTATCGTGATCGTTGAATAGTTTATTATAATATAAAAAAAAAGAGAGAGATTAAATATATAAAACTTACTTATATATTTACAAATATATAAAATTTACTTATATATTACAAATATATAAAATCAACTTACACATCTACCATGCAGCATATTAGATTTGAACCACGTTGCTGACATTTTTGAAATTTTCAATTAATATGCAGGTCAGAATCACTCCCAAAAGAAAAGGGGAAAAAAGCAGAGAAGACGAAAACCACGAATAAATTAATTGTCAAACACTAAACAGTTGCTCAGGAAACAGGTGTTCGATGTCTTCTCTCAACACATCACCGCACATTTAAGTGTGAAGGAAACCGTTCGCGTAAACAACGTCGACGTAAACAAGGAAGATGAACAAATGGTTGTTTCAACCCCTGCGAACTTGTTAATATACCGGTAACCCCACTCCTGAAACATGAAGAGGAAATTCTTATTTCTAAAAGTACGGTTATTTGCAATGCACAGAGATTGGTCCTAGAGACATTAAGCCTGCAAATGAACAATGAAGAAGCTCAACCAATCCGAAATGTTTCACGAGACAGGTAAGAAACTTTATTAGCACTGTCTTTCTTGACAAGTGAAATTTTGTCCAGCTGTTTTCAAATGGATTTTCATGTCCTTCCGCGACATAGCGACCTTTCTTCTGTCAACAAATTTTCTGTATTAAGATTTACAAACGTTGAGTTATTGCTTGGGAACCAGGACTGGACAATACTCGAATGATATACGAGGGTCCAGTTAAGTGTCAATCTTTAGCTTTCTCGAGAAACGAAAATATTCAAAATTTTTTCAATATGCACCTTCATAACTTCTCATCAATGTAAAAATCAGGAAATTTTAATTCGCAAAGCGACATAGTAAGAATCGATATTCCCTCCTTTTCAAATATAATGAATCGAATCGAGTAATATCTAGTTAAAAAGGATAATATGTACCTTATTCAATTCATTATTTTTGAATTGTATTATTTGAATAATACGCAAGTCTGTTCTATTCTAACACATATATATTTATGCACATATACATTTATAATATAAATATAATATTATATGATATAAATATTATTTATAAATATAATATAAATATAATTTAAATTCAATGCGTATCTAATTTCTTATCACTGACTATGTCGCTTTGCAAATTAAAATTATGAGAGGATACGAAAAGTTGTATATTGAAAAGCAAAAATATAAATAAATATAGTGTTCTAATTTTACTATTTGGAAAGATGGTATAATTCAATGTTTACACGACATTTTTATAATTACTAGGAGTTTGTAATCTTGATTAAGAATCAAACAATTTTAAAATGAATTAGAGATAGATTATATTTATATTTTATATAATTAAGATTAATTAAATCAAATGAAGATAATGTAGGAAATAATTTTACAAAGTAATTAAATAAGTTAATAAAAAAGCGTATATGTTATTGTTAAGATGGAGACTGGCTCGGACGTGCGACGAAATTTCTGCAGAAGAAATTCCCTCTCGCTTCGTGCTCAGTTCGGGTATCTTCCTCGGTCCAACCCTCGTCCGGATACCCTAACTCGGTTTATCTGCATCGGTTGTAACCATGAATCGCAACATCGGAATCGACCCATGGTCCTTAACCTCGAGTGGCCTCTTCTACGAGATCGGCAAGGAAGTCTTCTCAAGCTTCAAGGCCGCAATTTGGTTAACGTTCGCTCACAATAAGATTCGATAACAAACAAATAAGAACACTATTTCATACATTTAAAATGCAATTAAATGACTACCGCATTTATGGCAAATATTCTGAAACTCTTCTTTCAAGCCTTCGTAAAGTTTGTACAATACATTGCAGGATAAGAAAGTAATTGTAGTGAAGAAAGCTCACGATGTTGGAAGAATAAATACGGTCAGTGTTAATTTGCTACCTGCAATAAAAACATTACGGTAAATTCTTCGGAAGCGTTTACCTGTTTCTTTTCTTAAACATTGTTAAACTCATTGCCAACGTTGTAAATTGAAATCAATGTTCTTCAGCTAGTACTTGTCACACTCCGCTAGATATACATTCGCATACGTGAATAGATGAAACTTCAAATACTGATTGCATCTTACAGTCTTACATAAAATTATTTATGTGAAATAAATAGTTAATAAAATAAAATTTATGTATAATAAATAATTAATAAAATAAAATTATTTATGTATAATAAATAGTTAATAAAATAAAATTACTTATGTATAATATAACAGTTAAATAAAATAATTAATAAAATTGCAAACGTTGCACTATATACTGCTATAATTATATTCAACGAAGGCAATTTGCATGTAACAGTTAGATATTTCAAGCTAATAGCTCTGGTATTAAAATTATCGTGTCTGTCACCGTTAAAAGTGTTTGTACGCATTTGCATACTCAAATGCCTGTGCAACACCTTGTTTCACCACAAAAAGTGATAATAAATGAGTTCATAATATTTAGCGGATAATTGATAATTACATGCATGAAGAGTCATTGAGGGAAATGACCTGGTTAAAAATATTATGTTTCCTGAAATAACGTGTTTCCTGAATTCGTGGCTTGTACAATTACAAGTGATATGTATCAATACACGTAACGTATCAAGTACAAAAATAAATAGTATCACAGTCTGGCAAATTTTATTTGTTTCTTTTTTCCTTTCATTTTTATAGCAATTAATAGTCATCTTTATTTTACGCGCTGATTACGAATTTGAAATCTACATACATACATACTGATTCGTCACTTACAATATTCTAACGTCTATTGCAATAATAAATATTATTATCGAAAATCCTTCATTTCCCAGTTTGAACATTTAAATCCAAAATATTTTAATATTTATAAATAAATATTTAGTTTAAATATTAGTCAAATGGTAAAATAATTAGTAAAATTAGCAAAATAAAATAAATTAGTAATAATTATTAAAGTAATAACAATTAATCATTATTATATTTAATAATTATTAAATTAATAATAATTGATCATTACTAATAATTAATAGTTATTATTAAATTAGTAATAATTACTAATATTACTTCAGTATAATAATTACTTCAATCTTTCACTTTAATTACCAACAAAGTTGCGACTCGTTCAAAAAATAAAGAATAATAAAGGAAAGCTACGCAGTTTTATCTGCATAATTTCCCACAGTGAAGTTTTTCCAATCTTTCTCTGGACGTTGGCGCGAATTAAAAAAAAAGTGACGGTATTCGGTGCATTCTTCTCGAACAACACACCGTAGTGCCTCCACCAGAGCAGCTAATTCAAACGAACCGATGGAAGGAGAGACTACAAAAGTGGGGAGTTCACTTGGGTTAGATACATACTATAGTTTCGTTTCCTAGAAGAGTACTCTAAACACTTCACCGCGGTTTTATACGTCCGCGGCGTTCCATCTATCAAATGAATTATTATTTATTCATTTCACCGAATGACAAGTGTTGAAAAATATTTGGCACAATAGTAACATCGTCGAATCATTGAAAAATTAGATGTAATGTATAATTGCAATATGACCCAGTGTAATTAGTGAACATTTCGTTTATGTTAGAGGAGTTACCTGGAGCAATAACGGGACCAATCCGAGGTAGGAAGTAGCAGGTAAGAATTTTGATAAATGGTCTAGGTAGTAATATTATGTCGCGCATAAGTAGACAGTCAAGGCTCTTTCTCTTCAAAATTGTTCGTATACCTGAAATGAAAAATTGTCAATATATTAAACTGCTATGATTTCGTTAAAGAAAATTGTACAATAATTCAGTTCAATCCGTTGTATAATAATTCGATCGATCCAAATTGATCTAAATGAGATTTTTAAATCTCATTTTAATTTTGACAACTCTAAATTCGTTCCTTTCTTTCAAAGATGTTTATCATGCAGCGGATGTTTGTCAAGCAAAGATACACTTATTCTCGAAATTCAAATATTCAAATCGCTGAAAAATTTCTTCACGATGTAATAAAAAAAAAGTTACTAAAAAAAGGAAGTAAGAAACACAAAGAGAATACTTGAATCTCTGCGAACATAAAGATCGCTGTATTATTCGCGTGGGAAGTAAATTTAAAGAAAAGAATAAGAAATAATTTGGAATTTTTTCTTATTTTGTTTCTTTAGTATTTTATATAATATTTAAATGTAATGTAATTTATTGTTAAAGAAGGGATTTGATGAAAGCAAATAAGTAAATTATATCGTTTGAACATTAATTATTATTAATTAATAATATATCGATTAATGTCTTATTGTAAATATCTAATAATTTTACTTTAGATATTTTACTTTATTTTATTAACATTACTTTATTTTACTTAATTTTTACTTTATTATAATATTTTACTGTATTTTACTTAACTTTTACTTTATTTTACTTAATTTTTACTTTATTATATTTTATTTTATCTTATTAACTTTACTTTATTTTACTTAATTTTTACTTTATTATAATATTTTATTTTATTTTATTAAATTTATTTTATTTTTACTTTATTATAATATTTTATTTTATTTTATTAACTTTATTTTACTTTAGAATAATGTGTTAATATTCTGTTCGAAAAGAAACGAGATAATAATTGCGTAGAATATAATCAAAGGGTAAGTAGAAATCACGAGATGTGAGAGTGAAAGTAAATACAGCAAGTTCGCTTCTAATGGAAAGGAGAAATTTGCTTGCTGTCTTTTTCGACAAGGAAATTGATTAACCGTATCAAAGTTTATCCTTACTTATTTTTATCATTTATAGATTGTTATCATCAAATAGAAATTATTAACTTTTTATACAAAATGTACAATGTTTCTTACAAAATCGTCGAATAATTATTAATTTTATTTTTATATTAGATAGAATGAAACGTGTTTCACAATTGATACGTCGATTTACGCAATCACGAAACGACCTTCGAAGAATTTTGTGCTCAGGTAAGAAAATAGCAAACGATCATTTTCTCACTTGTACTTGAATAACATTGCCATCCCATCGTTATTGAAAAGTTATTATTATGATGGTCGAAGTGTAATTTCTAAATCGTGTCACGTAATTTCTTTTGAACGTGTTCGTCGCCCAAGAGATTTCTTTTCATGAAAGTTACCTTGCCGTTTGCGTGGCTACTTGCAATTTAAAAATTATATTCCTTTTGCAATAGGATAAATAATATTTATGGACTTGTGGACTCTAATCTATCTGAAGTAATATTTACTTTTTAAAATGTGCCAATCGAAGAATTATAGTTTTATTTGCATTGTGATATAGCAAAAGCATTCTAGATGATTTAGTAATGAATTTAAAATAAAATCTTTTTGTCTATTAAAAATTATACTACAAGATTTTACTACAACTAAAATTATACTACAAGATTATACTACAAATAATTGGTACTAAAAATTATACTACTAAACTACTACTAACAAAAAAAATTACTACTGAAAATTATACTACAAGATTATACTACAACTAAAAGTTAATACTACAAGATTTTACAGATTTTGTAAATATCACATTTGTAAAATACTCTTACCAACAGCTCTTTAAAAATTTGTATTAACTTTATCCAAAACACAATTCATTTAATCTTCGTAACTCCGATGCAATTAAATTTTTATATTTCAATCTCACTCTCAATTTAGAAAATGAAAAGTATTTATAGCTTTTTAAGACGTTTAAAGCTTCGTCGAAAAATTGTACATACTGTTGAGAACTTCTACAAACTCAAGATGCTTTTTAATTTTAAAGAAACACAAATGGCCAGTTTGGTTTAATTTTATAAAAGCCACCAACGATGGTTAATTTTAGTAAATGCAACTCCTGGACGTTAGCAGGGAAAATTTCCCAACAATAGTAGCAGTGACTTTCATCTGAAATTCAAGTAACATTAACATTCATCTCAAATTCAAATCACACTCGTCTCGCATACTTTTCATTATTCATCGTCCACCTTCCTGCGTTCGTATAGATGCGGTGACCACGACGAGTGACTGCACCATCGATCACGATGCAACGATCCAAACGAAGCCGTATGAGGATATACCAGGACCAAAGCCGATTCCAATCTTAGGAAATACCTGGCGTCTGTTTCCAATAATTGGCCAGTATCAAATATCAGACGTGGCGAAATTGTCGCAGATATTCTACGATGAGTACGGGAAGATTGTCCGTTTGACTGGCTTGATAGGTCGACCGGATTTGTTGTTCGTTTACGACGCTGATGAAATCAAGAAGATTTATAGGCAGGAAGGGCCGACTCCATTTAGACCATCTATGCCATGCCTGGTTCATTACAAGAGCGTTGTGAGGAAAGACTTTTTCGGAACTCTACCTGGAGTTGTTGGAGTGTACGTAATTGGATGCAATATACAAGATATCCTGCTACTTAAACGGCTAAACTACATTTGTAGACTTTATGTAATTTCTTTTTCTTCTTTTTACGTGTAAATAGAAGCCCTCGCAGTTTGGCCGTTTGAGTTCGGGACACCCTATATAATATAAAATGTGACAATGATACAGTAGATATAGCTATTTCTGTAGTCGTAAGTGCATTTTTCAAATATTATTCTTTATACGATCGAATCCAATCATTGCTAATGAGTATACTTTTTGATGAAATTTTTAGAACAATGAAATACATGTAATTTTTTATAAGAATGGTGTAACATTGTATGCGTTTTATACTTCAAGTATTTCATTCGTTATTCGCATATGTTGTGATCATAGTATTAGCTTCTTTTTCATGTATACAGTGTTTGCTTAAATGACCACAGCTCAAGACGACGCACCATAAGCGTCAGAAAGAATATGTCGTAAAGTGAATGTTGTAATCATTAACTTGTTAATTGAAAAAGTCATTGCTCAAACTGTCGACACTTTACACATGTACATGAGCCACGTTCATAGGCCAAAGTGATGAACTTCACTTTTTAAATTCTTTTTAAATTTTGGAGCCAAAGTAGTTGATCAATACTTAAGTTTTTTATATAAAGATAAATTTCTTTAATAATCAGATTTAACGCCATTAAATGACAAAAATTTCATTATGGACTCAAGAACCATTATGATTATTAAAATATACTATTTTACGTATTATTTTATGCGTTTTACAAATAAAAATTAGTTTAGACAGAGTAGATAATAATTGAGTTTAGACTTTAAAAGGAATTTTGAAGAAAAATATAGATTATATTTTGTTTGTGAGTTTCAATTTTCTTTCTTTATCCTGTTTTGCGAAGTTAATCAATTTGACAAACGACCGGCTCATATGATAAAATATGCATCCAGGAATTTTTTATCTCGAATATTCATCATTATGTTCAAGGGAAGAGAAAATTGATTAATAATTAAATTTGATGCTCAATGGTTAACTTTTTTGTTAAAGAAGTTTCTGAACAAAAATTCAATCCAATTAACTTGTTGGATGTATTGTTCATTCGACTGTAGTACTTAAAGGTAAAAAAAGAAGCTTAAATTATTTCAATAGCATTATTAATAATTTTATCTAAGTAGCTATATTTTGACCCTAATTTTGGAAGCTAATTGTGAGTGAAAAATCTGATAAACGTAATGAATACATAAATAACGATAATAGGAATAACTTATGCATATGTTTATTTTCTACGCAAGTTTCTTCGAATTAGCATCATCATAATTATTTGGTTGGACTATACTGACATCGTTTGCTTAAATTGAATTTTATGTTAATAAGTCACGCACGTGGTTTTCCTTCACCTTGAAACTATTCATAAGACCATAAGGAATGAGGTAACGTGTACATAATTAAATATTGACACTTCTGTGTAGGCACGGAGAGCCATGGAGAAAATTTCGTACAAAAGTCCAGAAACCTGTTCTACAACCGCAGACGGTGAAGAAATACATAGCACCTATTGAGATGGTTACGTCTGATTTCATACAAAGGTGATCCAAAGCTTTGTGCTCTCATGAATACACAGCTTACAGCTTTATACTTCAAAAGAATAATGCGATTTATAAATTTAAAAGCTGCATAAAAATGCGACTCTTTTTAGAATTGAAGAAATTAAGAACGAAGATGGAGAACTGCCAGCAGACTTTGATAATGAAATACACAAGTGGGCTCTAGAATGTGGGTACAAAAATATGTAGTTGTGTATAATTTTTAATCTTTTAAAATTAAAAATGAAATTAGTAATCATTGGTTTAATTGTACATGTATACACAGGTATAGGTCGAGTTGCTCTTGACGTGAGATTAGGATGTTTATCGGGCAATCTCACACCAGATTCAGAACCACAAAAGATCATCGACGCGGCGAAATTTGCTTTGAGGAATGTGGCAGTGCTTGAATTGAAGGCTCCTTATTGGAGATATGTTCCCACCCCTCTTTGGTCGCGATACGTACGAAACATGGATTACTTCATCGAGTAATTCAAATTTTATTTTATTTTTATTCCCATTTAAAGTTTAATAAAAATAGTAATTGATTTTGATTTTTTGGTTTTTCAGGATATGCATGAAATACATCGACGCAGCGATGGAGAGATTGAGAACGAAGAAAGCTATCAACGAATTTGATTTATCTTTGGTGGAAAGAATTTTAGCCAAAGAAACTGACCCTAAAATGGCTTATATACTCGCCTTAGATTTGATTTTGGTTGGAATAGATACAGTATGTAACAAAACGAATAATTTTTTGTTATATTACGATATAGAATCTAAATATTAATGATATATATTACAGATTTCAATGGCTGTTTGTTCAATATTATATCAATTAGCAACTAGGCCAGAGGAGCAAGAAAAAATTTACCAAGAACTTGTTGAAATTCTCCCTGATCCATCTGTACCTCTTAATACAAATCATCTCGACAAGGCTATTTATATGAAAGCCTTTGTTCGTGAAGTTTTTCGGTATAATTGATCACCTTACGAGGTTAAACAATCCCAATCTTATTAGTTAAATACTATCAACATCAATCAATATTATATTTATTTTAATATATAAAATACACTAGAATATAAAATATACCAAATTTTAATCTAATTCTAGTCTAATTCTAATCTAATTTTTTCATTAAAAAAGTATCCTATTTGTTTTAGAGTATATTCTACGGTGATTGGAAACGGTAGAACATTGCAAAATGATACTACAATTTGTGGTTACAAAGTACCAAAAGGGGTGAGTAATTTTATTATAAACATTTCTCAAGACTTAGTTCATTATATGTTATAATTATTACCTGTTATTATTGTTACAGGTACAAGTCGTGTTTCCAACCGTGGTAACAGGAAATATGGAACAATATGTAACAGATGCAAAAACATTTAAACCAATGAGATGGCTGAAAGAATCTTCTGATGAAAGTTTACATCCTTTTGCATCATTACCTTATGGCCATGGCGCACGCATGTGCCTAGGTAGAAGATTTGCCGATTTAGAAATTCAGGTGCTGCTTGCCAAGGTATGACTGTGCTATTACTGTTTGTAGTAGACATATATGTATTGTTTAGTCATACATATGAATAATATTAATTTTATTCACTTTTAGCTGATAAGATCTTATAAATTGGAATACCATCATAAACCACTTAAGTACAAAGTTACGTTTATGTATGCTCCTGACGGAGAACTCAAATTTAAAGTGCTCCAAAGATAGTCATGGTTTGTACTTTAACAATTTAAAAAATCATTATCTATCAATAAATTTGAAATTTAAGGGTCCCTTAGGTGTATACATAGGATTAATGTAATACTGTAGTTTCTCATGATGATATTCTATTTTGTAACGTTGCAAAATCTGAAACAAAAAATTGTTACAACATTTTTTATAAATGCACATATTGTATAACAAAATAAATTATTATCTTCGATTTTAATATAAGAAATAAAATTATTTTATATAAAATAACGTGTAAATATCAGTATTTTCTTACAAAAGTAGGGACGTTCTGTTTAATCTTTTCTGAATTAAGAAATAAAATACAAAGAACTCTCAAATTCATAAAATCATATTCATTATGATATTTTGGAGCCAAAGGCGGATCAAAATGATCCAATATAAGTATAACGTAAATTTGATTATTATTATGTGATTATTTTGTTAAAAATAAATATTTCAGCACTGTCTCCCAAAAACATTCCAAATGACTCGTCTCTGAAGTTTGAAGATTAATATTTGCCGAGCCACTAAACAAAAAACGATAAATTTAATGGAATAAATTACTAGATCAAAACATTATACAATGACCTCAATTTCATTTTTATAACATTGCTTTAATCATTCGTGAAGGAGACCATAAATCTGACATGGTGTGAAATTATTACTATTAGAAGTTGCATGTGTTTGTAATAGTTAATAATGCAGGATTTAATAAATACTTTTCTTCTCAAGCTCAAATTTTTTCATGTAATGTACTTTTTATGTAGGCTATTACATACCCACCCATTCGTAAAAAAACTCTAATTACCGAGTTAATACAGCACAATAAAAAAAACTATGTGTATATTTTGTACTATCCAAATAACGGTATAGACGTTCGTGTAACAGATTAATGTCAGTCTAAAGAAGTATGCTACCTGATGACGAAGATAAATGGTAGTGGGATAAACCGTTCATTGTTCATGAGCATTCATTGTAACAGTTGACAAACTAACGGAGATTGTAATTAAGGCTAAAAACGAAACTTGTGGTAACCAAACTGAACTATAACTGAAATACAAGTACAAATGGAGGTTTTTTTCACCAACCTCCATTTTTAAGAAAATCAATTTAAAAAAAAATGCAAATTTTTCGCTTCAAATATCTTTTGTATTTTAATTGTGTATATTCCCTATAGATTCTATATATTCTCAAATAATATGTAAATAATATATTTACATATATTTTTATAACATTATTAAATTCAAGTTGATTTGAAGTTAATAATTGATATTCAATTACAATACTTTTTGCAAATATAAGTTGTTAAAATCTTGATAATCATATTGAAGAGAAGGAGGTTCGTAGTATTTTCTTTCTCGTTTCTCTCCAGTTGATTGTAAATAAAATTTGTTAAATATGTGCTGCCCTGATGGCTTCACAATTCTGCTTTCTACTCTACTCTCTCCTAGCTACCTCATTATAATTCCCCTGCTAATAAATGCTTATTTTCTTCTCTTCTATTGTTTCTTTCTGTTCGCTAGCTAAATTGTTTGAAGAGATTAATATTTTAAGAATAGAAAAGGTGATGGGAGTGGTTTCCTACAGGTGGAAATGGCACGACCCTGATTTTTTTAAATGAAAGAATATATTAATTTCTCGTTAGTCTGACTTACTTGTGGTCAAATATTTTTTTAATTCTTTAATTGTGATTATTAGGGGTGTGCGAGAACCCGAAAATATCGAGAACGGTCGGGACGAATCGGGAAGAGGTCGAGGTAAATACACAGTTCAATTTCTTCTGCCAGTGAAGTTATTGGAAACATAGATTCTAAGAATCTTGTGACCTGTTGTAAACGAATGTGTGACTGCGTGCTTAGTACTTGGACATTATGTACGCTGTTGAGCAGTATCGCCGAGAAATTCGAGCAATTCAGACGTATATTTCAAAATCTGTGTGAATTTAATAAAGATTAAAAATCTTTAAAAAAAATGTCGAGTGATAGTGAGAGTAAAGTTGTGGTAGCAGGAAGTAGTGCAGAAGATATCGTGCAAAGAAAAAAGGTAAAGAGAAGCTTTGTTTGGGAACATTTTCAAAAAAAAGATGATATAAAGGCGGAATGCACACATTGTCGCCATGAATTTAAAACTAAGTATGCAAATACTACTGGTTTATTATGCCATTTAAAGTATATGCATATGCACATAATGTATGTTTACTAGAAAATAAACTGAATCGATATAAAATTTGTCGCATGTACAAAATGATACGCGAAAGATTGTTAAAGCAAAAGATATAATAGAAGGAATTGCTCGAATGATGGTTTTAGATCTGCGACCTTTCGATATGGTTGAAAGCGTAGGCTTTAACGAATTATTTAAGCTTGTTCCCAACCCTTTCCCAAATCCCAACTCTTTCGGGAATACCCGTTCCGATCCCCAAAAAATTTCGTGTTCCCGACCCGATCCGATATTTCGGATTCTCGCACACCTCTAGTAATTATAGTTACGCGTACTTCTTTTTAAAAAAAAGATTGGGAATTATACTCTTTCGCCTCTACATTACACTTTAAAATGTTAGTCCCTCCCAAATTATTGAACACATTAAAATTTCAATATCGATATCTGCAATAGTTTCGAGGAAAACAACTTGCAACAGTTGTAGCTTTATAAAACAATTAATATATATTAATTACCTTACTAAGAACAACGAGTATCTCAAGTTCGGCAAAACGTCGACCAAGACACATTCTTCTTCCGTAACCGAAAGGAAGTGACGCAAAGTTGTGATACACACCATCACTTTGCAACCATCTTTCGGGCAGAAATTCCTCGCTGCGTGGAAAATACTTGTCCAGATTACTTATCACATAATGTTGAAAAACCACTTGTACCTATTAATCAATTTTTATTATATTATAATTATAATAGGATATATTCATTTATAGCAGTTTAATATTTTCGAAAAAATTGTAAAATTTTTGCTAGTAATTATACTCAAATTAATATAAGAATTCTTTCTTACGCCTTTTGGTACACGATATCCTTTGATCACTGTATCTTTGGTCATGCATCGTCCATTGCCAATAACCACTGGATACATTCTAGTAAAAATTATATTTTTATTAAATATTGTAAATATAAAATAGCTTCCTAGTCTAAAGTAACTTGTCCCAAGAGTAATTTTTGTACTTAAAGGATGAAAAATGACCGTTAAGCTTAAGAATCTTAAATCTTAAAATCTTAAAGATCATCGTACGTACCTGAGAGTTTCTTTAATGCACGCCTTCAAGTATTTCAGTTTATCCAAGTGATTCCCATTCAGCTGCATGTCTTCACTCGGAAGCACGTTACGCACTTCCTCGTAAGCGAGATCTTGCTTCTCAGGATGCAAAACTAATTGATATAAAGTCGATGCTACCGCGCTGGAAGTCTTGAAATGATATTGAAAATTTAATTTATAATAAACTTAATAAACTTTGATTTAAATTTGATTTAATTTAATTAAGATTAATAAATTTAATTTAATTTAATTTAATTAAGATTAATAAATTTAATTTAATTTAATTTAATTAAGATTAATAAATTTAATTTAATTTAATTTAATTAAGATTAATAAATTTAATTTAATTTAATTTAATTAAGATTAATAAATTTAATTTAATTTAATTTAATTAAGATTAATAAATTTAATTTAATTTAATTTAATTAAGATTAATAAATTTAATTTAATTAAGATTAATAAATTTAATTTAATTTAATTTTATTATGTACTAATAAAATATAATAATAGTATTTGTTTATTTCATCAGCAAATAATACAGAAATACTCACTGTATCGATGCCAACTAAGAATAAGTCAAGTGAAAGTATAGTAGCTAATTTAGTGTCATTTTCTAAAGCCAACACTTTTTGTAGAAGAGACGGTTCCTTGGTTGACTTTTTTATTTCTTTAATCTTTGAAAGAGCGGCCGCTGTGTATTTAGACGTTATGCTGAAAATAAAAATTAATCTTCATTTATACTTTGTATTTTTGTCATTTATATTTGTTAAAATATAATTGTTTTGCAATTATATTGTATTTTATTGAAATTTACCTTACGATAGTATCGAGAGCATTCACATATTGTAGCCATGTAGGCGTATTAAATAATTTCCAGAATGGAATCTTTAATTCCAGTATTCCCACATTCTTGAAAAATGTTGTAACCGCATCGATTAATTGCTGAGTTTCCATATTGGCATCATCATCCAAACAACCCAATCGAACGTCCAACGCTATGCGCGCAATAGCTGTAAAAATTTTTTCACTAACGTTAACCTTCACTTGAAAGAAAAAAAACTGATTTTTTTCAAACCACCGCTAGGAGCTATTTATTACTCACATTCTAATGACCATTTATGAATCTCGTTTAGAAAATCATTAGGCACCTCATCATCTTCGTCTCGTATTTTTTTTATCCTAGAAGTTATGATGCTATATATTACAAACATCCGGAAAAATTTACTTTTAATTAAAATATTTAATTAATACATTAGAGTTGTATTTTCTAATATATATTTATTATAGAGTATTAAGTTCTCTACATTGAACCACGTAGGAAAGTATCTTCATAAATTAAAAATGTTGATAAATTTTAAAAAAATTTCAGGATTATAATTGAATAAATTAATAAACTTCCTAAAACAAACTAAAACACTATGTGAAATGAAAAGATGTTTTCAAAACAGCGTCAATGATTCAACAATTTGAACTATAAATATTTTATATTGGTCCATGTTTAGTAAATAAATTTTGCAAACGTTACAAATTTTTTGAAGAAAAATTAGATGAACCTATCACGAGCAGGATACAAGAAATCGGGGTAACAAAATAAAGTGAAAGGTACATAATGTGTGCATGCAACATTAAAATGACCATTTGCGGCGAACCTTTGAAGAAATGCCAAGCTCGCCTCCTCAATAGCGCTAATGTACATTTTCGCTGTTCGTGGTTGTAACATTACTTGTTGTACTTTGCTCCGGAAGTTATACCAACTCTCACCATGTCTGCAACAATCGTTTACGTTAGTTACCACTATTATTCTACAACATTTTTCTTTTCTTAACTTACGTACGAAATATAAATTAGACAGTTGGAAAATTAAAGGACATTAGATAATCGACGCAAACCTCTAACAGTACATATACATATACATATATCCAGGAGTCTTATTGAATTATTTTATACTTTTAATTATGTAAAAGAATTGCTATTATAAAAATTATTCGTAAATTACAGAAAAATATAAAATTCATTATTCAATGAAATATTCTTTTCATTATTCGTACTTATCATGTATTTCACGCGGTCTCAGTGAATTACTGTATCAATTAATACATTGTCATAGTGTCATATTTGTTATAATTCGATGAAATTAAGATAAAAACGAAATCTACAAGAAAATGTCAAAGGTTCTGCTCTATTTTTCCTAAATTGATACTGAAAAATATAATGGATGTTTGGAATGATGTCACTGATAAATAGAATTGATTTGTTCAATATATAGATCTATATAATTGAAATTGAATTGAATTTAGAGTACCAAAAAATCATACAAAAATAAAATATAAATTTATATATTAACAATTTGAAAAACCGAGTTTTTAAAATATAAAAATAATTATGTATATTATTTCTACATGTTATTGTAATCCTACGGTTCTTGTAAACATTTAAAGAGTTTTTAATTTAGAATCTCACTAAGCAGGTACATTTTTTTCAACAAATGTAATGTATCTTAATAAATTCAACATAATTTTTTGTTCTGATCTTAATAAATTCAACATAATTTTAGTTCTGATCATTATGAAAGAATATACAAGTTAGTGAGTGAAATAATTAGAAGTTAGGATATGATTTAAGTAATGCAAATCTTCGTCATACACGAATGAAAGGGTACACATCCATGCAAGTGAAAAGTGATAGCGTAACACGCATCAATATCTGATTGCACAAGACTTACTTTCTAGCAAATGATATGACGTGTATAGCATGCAATGTTTAGATCTATCCTTATTTAGACGAAACTCTCGACCAGTTTTCTTTTTTCCTACGTATGACCATTTCTGACATGAATATCATTTCCTATTAAGTAAATGATTGATTGCTTGTTGCATTGTATTTACATAATATGTTGTGCAATTTATTTTTTCTAGTATCGAGTTTCTTTTGCAATACAATAACAAAGAATAATCACATAATTAGAATGTATCAATATATATTTTGTAAATATTCTGTATAAATATATACTTATACAAAATATTTTCTAATTCTAATTATTTAATTAAATATTCTAATTATTTCATTATTATTTGTCATTGTATTGCAGAAAAGAGTTTATACATATAATATATTGTAACACAATACACAAAATATTGTAACATACGTACACTAACAAAAGCTCACGAGTTAAAGCATATGCAGAAAGCATAGTGATATTATAACAGGTTTTCAAACACGCGCCGCTTTGACGAAGAGTTCAATATGCACAGCAAATATTTGCGATCGCAGTGTGGTTTACTAAACGAAAGGTTAAGCAATATCACTAAAGCACTGAAAGACTCATAATTTCAATATTTGACCATTGCGATGCTTAATGAAGTCTGTATACATGTTGGACTCGTGAGAGCTCACAGATAAGTGCAAATATAGAATATTTTTACCTATTCAATATCTAGTATTGAATTTGATGTATTCTATTATATTTCGTAATATTTGTAATATATCAATCACTGTAGAAGCGTCCTTGAAAAATTTTAACGAAACTCCTCATTTTGAAACATTTATTCATAAAAAAAAATATAAATTACATAAATTATCAGATTCCCAAAGTTTTTTTATTAATGAATAATGTTTATTAATGAACAATATTTTATGTTTTACATCACGCTATTGAATTATGTATAATTTTAATGCATAATTCATTCTGATCTATCTTCCTCCGTCTCTTCGGAAGCCTCGTAATGCCAACTCTCCAAAATTTCCAAAAGCAAATAAAGAAATAAACACTATCAAATATTTCTAACTGATTACTATTTCTTTCATTAAAAAATTTCCTTCGCGGTAAATAAATGTAAAAACGCACCTCAAATGATATTTCGCTAGCAGACTCTAAAATGGAGAAAGATAATAGGTCAGAATGTACATAATTGAATGGTGTAAAACATAAAATATTGTGCATACATTATTCGAAAAAGTGATGAGAAAAAATTGTGGGACAATTGAATATTTTATTAAATGAAAGTTAGGATGTTCAAATATTGAGGAAATCTATTTCTTCTTCTTCAATATTTACCAGAGTTATCTCTATCCTTCATTTCAACTTTATCGCAAGAGAATTTGTTTTCCTATTATAATAACATTATAATAACGTCTTATAATAACATTTTTCTAAAATAAAATCAGAATGTAATACCTACACGGCGATTACGCCAGCGTTATCTCTGAAGAATTCCTTTCTGAGTACGTGTTTGTAATAATTTAATGACGGCATCGAAGGTCTATATGGCATTTTCTCCTCTTGCCTAAAGATACGCTCGATTTCATTCGCATCATAGATGAACACCATATCTGGTCTACCTAACAAACTTTCTATTTTGACGATATCTCCATATTCTTTGTATAATCTCATCGATACTTGATCCACTGCCTGGATCTTAAAGTCACCTAAAATGAATTCATTTTTCATTTTTAGATCAAATGGAAGTTGTCATGGCAATATTATAAATATTATAATAGTAGTCGACATTGCATTCCATAACACCGTCGTAATTACACGTATGTCAACTTTCTTCGTTCATTACATATTCTGAACATTACAGACATCGAAATCAGAACTACTTACATGCATTTGTATGCATATGCACATAGCTGCGTAACAATTCGCATAAGAATAGAATAGGTTGGCATGGAAATGAATTACAGTAGAAATTCGTTTATCTATACAAGACCGTTCGGCCAATCGAAGAGTCCGGATAATAGAGGTATCCTCCACATCCTACTCTTATTTTTTTAAATGATAGAAGATAATAGAATAACAGAATTTGATCAAGTATGATTTCAGTGTATCTAAGACTCAATATTAACTGATTCGTATTAATTAGATAAATTAGTTTTACTGTATTACAATTCAATGTTTATTATAAGACGAACAAATTTGTTAAATTCGATGATAATACCGTAAAACTTCATTTATTCGAACCAATCGAGAAACGAACATCCGGTTCATATAACAGGAGTTCAGTGACCCTCCTCAAATTTTGTTCATATAACATGATAATATTTCGCGCTCATATAAACAAATTTAAGATTTCATTTAATCAGGCAAAAAATCCAATAAACGGAGTTCTATTGTAGTTTAATTAGATAAATCGGTGTGTACCTATGAACGGTATAAATCGCCAGGTATTGCCCAAAAAGGGAATTGGTTTGGGTCCAGGAATTTCAGCGTAAGGTCGACAACGCGACCAACCTTGCTCCTCGATTTCTGTCGTCAAAGTTTCTATAGTTCTAACGACGCTGCTCGATCGTTTAACGTTACATTCTACTAATTTAGCAAATTTATAGCTTAAGATACTCATCTTCAGTCTGCAACACAGAAAAAAATGGTGACGAAATTTTTACGAACTTAAGGATAAAATTTTTATGAACGTCTGCTACTTTCTTTGGAGTAAATTAATAAATAATAATACATAGAAATTATGAGCTTTCGTTTGCATAATTGAGAGGATTGCGGTTGTGAAAACCGTGGTGGCCCTTTCGAGTGAAACCGTGTAACTTAATTGTTTTGTGCTATTTACTGAAATCGTACGGAGAAGTCGCGATGCACACGGTGTCCTGAGATTTGCGAGATCAAACAAAAATGAATTTTTTTTGAATAAATTATAATGAAAGGAAGTATTTCAAAAGATTTAAATAAATTTATTAAATAAGAGGAACATCTGTGTGACTGGTATATCAGTAACGAGAATCAAAGCAAAATATTCTAATCAAGAATATTTGCACGGATGTAATTGTAGAGCGGTAAAATTCGACGCATGCGCTCTTTCGATTTGCTCATACGATTACCAACGAGCGAAAAGAACGAAAAGAACGAAAGGGAAAAATTAATTGTTAATTTTTCGCAAAATTTGTAAGTTTACAAAACTATTATAGAAAAAGAAATTGTAACTTGAATTTCCATCGCTCTGGTAATTCTGTTGTCAATTTTATTTGTATTAGACTCTTCTTTCTATTCTTTCTTAGAATGGTATTTATATTATATTTCTTTGTTTAGATGTATATGTTAATATACTAAAAATGGACAAAGATTCTAAATTTTCTAAAATTTGATTCTAAGAAAGTAAAAGTTTTACTGAAAAATTTGTTATTCTGAGCTATTATCTTCTCTAAGTAAAACTTTATCGACGTACGGACGGTTAGAAGAAGCAATCATTCAAAATATAATTTAGAATATCAATTTATACCTACTTTGTTCACGTTTGAAATTTCACAACTTCATTACTGTCACTGTCACTAATTTCAACCAACTAAAAGCTTCATTTAGACAAATTATTGCACATTTTAGTTAATTTAAATTTTTATTTTCTGCATGAGATGTATCAGGCACAACGAACCACTTTTGAATGAGAACACTTTCGATTGAGACAAGTGCGCAACTCGCCCTTTTATTCCTCAAGAGATCCGGCTGACTATTAGACATTTTACGAAAGTATCAAATAATTAAGATTGAAACAAAAAGAAATTTACTTCATTTTATTCAAATTCATTTATGTTACATATGTTTATATAATATAAATAATATAACTTGACATAATTGATTTTAACGGTTTTTTCAATCTTCGAATTGAATCGTTTTTATTTTTTGAAACAATGCTATTGGTCGACGATGATTTAGGTATTACTTATTGGAGGGATTCTAAGGTATCACGTGAATGGCGGGAGTTATAAATACTTTACAATTTTGTTCCTTTCACACGTATTAGAATACTATAATATTTATTTTTTAGGTCTTTTATCAATTATTATATAAAGTGAGTTAATAATGTATGAGCATACAATGAAAAATGTGAAAATAATTTTATAATAAGAACTGTAATATTTACTCGTTTTATTTTTTTCATACTGTGTACACAAAAGTTATTTTTTTAACACAATGAAATTCTATGACGATTCATACCATTTAGATTTTTTCAATTCTATCGATTTTAATTTATTTTTGTATTTATTTACAAGTTTTTCTAAATTCACGTCGTCGTGATTTAGTTTCGTCCTTTGTTTTGGCTGCAAAAGAAAACAGTCCTGATTTAAAAACATATATAATTATTATTATATATAATTTTACAAATTAAAAAGATGCTTACTCTAACTTCATTTTCATTAGCAATTTTTTGTTTTCTTTTCATTTCTAACTTTTTAGTAGATTTTTTGATTTTTTTCTCTTTCTTTACTGTTTGATTGTGCACCATTGCCTGAGTTATTAAATTATGTTTTGATCGCAATTTATTTTCACCAGGTTTTCCAACCGTACCACTGTACGGTTTTATGTTAGATTTGTCTACACTTTCAATTTTTAACCGTTTAGTTGTAACTTCTTCGTTCGTATCTTCCATTTTCCTTTTCACTTTATTTCCCGACCAAAGAGGATTGTTTTCCTGACTTTTTTGAAGTCTCTTCTGTTTGGCATTCACCATAATTCGATTTTCTATTGAGAAGGATACGATTGGCCTCTGAATAAATAAAAATATGAGATAATATAACAGTATAATTTTCGAAACAAATAATATAAGAAAGTTATAATTAAGAAAATTATAATTTTCAAATATACCCTTTTTGAAGTGAATATATTTGGATTATTATTCACATTTCTTAAAGTTTCAAGCGCGTCTTCGTGCTTTGTAAATGAAACGAATCCATATTCTTTCGATTTTCCTACTCCTTTAATATCCACATTTTTCAAATCTCGCATAACACGTGCCTTTATAAAGTAAATATTAAATATATTTTAATATAAATTTATTCAATATTAAATATTTAAATTGAAACTACAAAATACCTCTTTTATAACCGCCGCAGGAGGGCTATGACGTTCAACAATTTTTCTGAATTTATCATCGTTTAGTGTAGGTGGTAAATTATGAACAACGAGCCGTACTCTTGATACAAACATATTTAAATTTCGCAATATCTGTGATTTCCATTGTTCTATTTGTAATCGTTTTGTCATATCTGCCACAGAAACTCCCATTGAAGCTGGACTTCCGGCCAATACAACTAAAACATTATATGTTATAATAACCACAATATTGTAGTAGCTAAGATTTTTTATTTAGATTAATTATTACTAACTAAGATTTCTTATTTTCTTTTTTTTTAATTTTGCATCACATGCAAAATATATATGCAAATATATTACCTCCTTCTTTTACAAGATACAAATTTCTAGAATCCTTTTGTTTATATTGTTTCAAATTTGCCTTATTTTCGATTTCATTTCTATCCAACGCTCTGTGTGCTTCAAGTATTTGATCTTCCATTTGCAATTCATTTCCTGCTGACAAACACTTTTCAGCGCTTTCGGCATTCTAGAAACAAGTATTTATAAAAAAAAATTTTAATTTTTTTGTAAGAAGAATAGAATATATTTTATAAAAATTTACCTTAAATTTAACAAATGCTGTACCCTTTGAAAATTCTGTCAATGGATCTATGCATACAAGAGCATAATAAATAGGTCCAAATCGTTCCATATATTGCTTTAACTCATCATTTTTCACAGAAAATGGTACATTTTTTAGAAACACAGTTTTTCCTTCAGAAACATCATGAGATTCAAAACGTGGTTTTATTTTCTTCGTAACTACTTTTTCTTGTTCTTCGTTTTCATATTCTTTATCATCTTCAATTACTTCACTTTCATTTTCTGTTTCAATTTCAACTTTATCTGACTCATCATTATCAAATTCAATATTTTCAATAATATCGAATTTTTCATCTTCGCTAGAATTACATTTTGTTTAATTATATTTTACTTAATTCAACTATTAAAACTATTAAAATTATTAAAACATTTTAAAAATTACAAAATAACAAATCAAAGAAGATCATAAATTTATTACATTTTAACCTATTATATCTAAACCTTACATTTAAAACAAAAAATGTAAATTTATTTACCCATCCATCTCTTCGTTTGAATTTAATTTTGCATTATTTGTATCTTCTGTATCACTTTCTTTTTCCACTTTTACTTTTATTCCACCTTCCTGTACATTTGTAGAATCATTTTGAACAAACTTATTTTTTGGTATAGCCCAATCAACTACAATAGGTCTACCGAGAAGTGGTTGTAAATTTGCATGATATATAGCTTTAGCTGCACTTTGTACATTTCCAAATTCTAAAAATGCACATCCTACATTTTTGCCATCACTTCTCTTCAAAATTTTGATTTCTTCTATTGGCCCATATAGGGAAAAATGTTTTTTCAAATTTTCTTCATTTGTCTACAATTATAATGAAAAATTTAGAAAGCAAAATCAATGTAAGTTTATATCATTGTCTTACCTGAAATGATAAATTTCTTATTACAATCCTTGCCCTCTTTTTTCTAGTTCTTTCCTTCAATAATTTTCTCTTTTCTTTTTTTATTTCTGACAATGTCTTTTGTTTAGATGGATCTTCTTGATCCTTCTGTTTGACTTGTTTATTTTTTTCGTGCCTTTCATCTTTATCTTTTTCTATACTTTTACTCGCATCATGTTCATTATCTAAGTTTTCTACATTTTCTAGCTTGTTTTTCAATTTTTCGCAAAATTTTGATTTTGAAACAGCCCAACTACTACTTATTATTCTACCTAAAGATGTATTTTCAGTATATTATTATATTACAACGCGTTATTACTTAAATTAATAATAATATTTAATTATTTATAATAATTGTATGTAATTTTTTTGTTAAAATAATACCAAGAAATTCCTTCTTATTTGTATTGAATATTGCTCTTGAGGCATCTTCCAACTGTTTAAATTGTATAAAACAACATCCAATTGGCGAACCATTTGGACGTTTTGGAAAGTTTATCTCTAATACTTCACCAAATGGTTCATATAATTTCTTTATATCGTCTGGAGTTGCCTAATGACACAAATGAATAACTATAAACTTTCTTAATGAAGAAACGTATTTCTTATGCTATAATAAAAAATGTATTAACCTTGAATGGTACATTACGAACGATAATCCTAGGTTTCTTATTATTATCCGTATTGTCATCTATCTCTTGTGTTGATTTCTTTGATTTTCGTAATTTTGTCTTCTTTCTATATATCCAAGAAAGTTTCTTCTTTTCAGTTCTATTGCCTGTTTATTGAAAATATTAATTACACATCTTGAACGACAATCTTATTAAACATTTAGCATGTAAATTACGTGCCTGTATTCCTCATTTCAGATATCTACGTCCAATATATATAATATATAAAATTTTTATGATAAAGTCTGTAATACTAGAAATTTTAAAATACTCGCTTTATTAAGATAATATATCATACACTTATTTTATAGGTTAGATTTATGTATAGGTTAGAAACTTTACATGTATTGAATACGGAGCAAATGGAGCTTTGGAGTTTAAAAGTTTGAAATAAAAGCCAAATACTAGGGTACCTTATATTCCCCTAGATCACGTGATAAACTATAATCTTTTTTTTTAACTTATAAAAATAGTTTTCAATTTAGCATTAAATATCAATGAAATTAAATTGAACGACATGAATATAGTTCTGACTTGAATAAAATGTTCAAAGATGTTTATGAAGTTGTCAACTTTTTCGTAGCAAAATGACACGATTGGACAGTTCATATGAAGTTACGAAACATTATTTGCAACTTCTACGCAGGTATTCCAAAGTATACAAATCGAAATTACGCAAGGTAGCCTCATTAAAATATACAAGTAATTGTCAATATATGACAATATTCTGTGCGTATATTCTGTTAAGCTAATACATATTTACAAATTGCCATATAACTTGGGAAATAAATCACTCGTATATTTTAAAGTAACATCAATAAATTACGATTCTACTGTATTTGAAATTACGATTTCGTTCGTCTGAAAATCGCAATTAGTGAATAAAAGGTTACAACTCTTCGATTGGTGTTGGTAACTGAAGTAATTTACTGAAGAGATGAATTGATCGAGAAATTAACGTATGAAAGAAGTTAATATACAAATAGTACACCGATACAACAATAAGATATACAGGTAATACGTGTGCAATCCATCTTTGTCAGATCGGCCGTGTGAAACTTATCTGCGGAATGGTTTCAAATCGGACGGAAGTGGAATCGATATCCCGGAATTCGATAGTAGCGAAAGTATGGCCGAAAGCGGATTTTCATTTCTGCTAAAGACAAAACAGCAAACAACACAGTGAAAAGCCTGTTATTATGACTGAGTTAAAAGTACTTTATTGCATCCTCTTGTTAACATTTTTCGAACTGACGTCACAAATTCGACCGTCCTTACATGGACACAATAACGGTGAGCATGTATTTATGCTGTTTCAATTATTCTCGTTTTATCACAATAATATACACCTCGAATAACGTTGCAGCAATCTACTAACATGCCATTAGCTACTCGTTCTAAACCTA